TGATCTAGAAAGGGTATACTCTGCTGGAGGTAGTTCGGAAATGGCAGTGTGTAGGCAGGTACCATAGAAGGCAAAACTATAAGGAAATTACTAAATTAGGAAAGCAAGAGAATGGATAAGGTACCGATGGGCCTAGCTCAGTTGGTACACCCACAAACTGTTGAAATCGGGATCCAAGCTCGAATCCAGATACACTCAAATGACCAGAAAAAAAATCAAAATAAAAAAATCAAAAATCAAATGACCAGAAATTTCAGAGTAAAATCATTCTGAATAAAACCTTGGGCCAGTCAGCTCAATGATGATATCTCAAGGCCGTCGCCCTTGTTTTTCAAAAAAAAAAGGGGCAAAAAAATGGACAAGGAGCGAAAGGATGTAAAGTTGTAAACACAAACAGTAAGGGGGTTGGAAGCCGAACGAATTCGAAAAGAGACCTGAGGACAGTGAGGAGTACCCCTCAAGGAGAAGTCTGAGAAACACGTACACTTCGCTGCAACTGATAGTAGCACCAGGTCGAAACAAGCTGAATGCCTCGATCATTGGAGAAAGAACAGGTGGACTGCGTAGGTATTCCAAAAACACAACAACTCCAAGAACTTTTTTTTGTGACCAAAAAAAAAAAAAAAAAAAAAAGAAGAAAAAAGCTTTTTGCCCTCTTTTAAACCACCACTACCCGGGGCCCCCAAAACCCCCCCCCCCCCCCCCCCCCCCCCCCCCCCCCCAAAAAAAAAAAAAAAAAAAAGGGTTTCTTGACCTTTTCCCGGAAAGAAGTCCAAAATTTTGAACTTTGTGAGAAGGGTATAGCTGAGCATAAGACACAACAAAACAACTTTAAATAAGGGCCTGCCTGCAGAAGGATGTTTTCTTGAAACCCCCCCCAAAAAAAGATAAGGCACGACACGACCATTCTTAAATTCTTAATTAATTAGTAATTATTCTGCTTGTTGTGCAACTATGCTCAAGAGATGCAAGGGTTAACCGAAAAGAAAAGGGAGGAAAAAAAGGGAAACAGATGCAGGGTCTAGACTGTCCCACAACTCAGGTTGGAATGATGGGATAGCTCCAAAACTGTGGGACAGTCTCAGGAATCTCCTGGGCCTGAAGTGGCAGTCCCTCCCTTTCCTTTGTTTTCTTCTTTTTCTTTTTGATGCTTTTTGACAATCCTTCGACGACCTTTCCACGATCTTTCGACGGTCTTTTGACCGATCTTTCGACGATCTTTCGACGATCTTTTGACAATCCTTTGACGATCGTTGACATTGCCTAAAAATGCTCCATAGTCTTCAAGCATCATTATCCTCTGTGTGCGTGTG